TTTACCCTTCCACATCAAGCATGCTGGTGAATATGGAAGATCTCTGGGCTTACTAACACCAGTGTGATTACCAGTAAAGTTGATTGATCTTGTCCCAGCTGGTAAGTTTACTTGCTGCCTCAGTTGAAGTCTTATCTTGACTTCTGATATCACCATTGGCCTAACCACAACATTTTCATCATGTTCCATCTTTGAGAAATTTGGAACCATACTTGATTGACCATTTTCCTGACTTGATTGAGTCATTTGTGGTGCTGAATAATGTATTTCATCTTCTGTTTCAGAATCTAACAAAGTTCTTGTCCTTTTCAAAGGTTATTTTCCCTTGCTTAGCTGATTTCCCTTTGGTTGCTATTAAAAAACAAAGTTAGAAAACATAAATAGGTACAAGTTCAACATATATGCAAATTGTAGATTACCTGAGCACAAGTTCTTGCATTATGGTTTGGTTATCCACATTTGTCACAAGTCATGACTCTACCTTTTCTGGACTGTGACCACACTCCTTACCTTTTAACTGCCTCATCCTTCTACCTATCCCTCTTAACTTTTGGCCAGCCAGCCAACTTCACCAACTCTGGGGGTTCCATTGCTTGTGATGGGTCAATTTTCCAAAATTTTTCTCCTCTAACAGGTTGAAGCTTATATCTATAAGTAAGTAGAAATGCCTCCTTAATGTACCACCAGTGCATCTCTGTCAAAGGGTCACCCCTGTTGTGAAGTATAACTCTAATAGCATGAGGGCATGGGATTCCTGTAAGGTCTCATGCCCTACAGGTGCACTTCTTTATGCTTAAGTTGACACAATGCTTGTCAGCCCCTTCACTAACTTTATATCCTCCTTCTCCATTGGAATTAACTTTACACATTTGAGTAATCTCCATAAATTCATTGTATAGTTCTAGGCTCTTTGGACTAAACTCATTACTCCATGTACTAGCTTCAACTTCATGTTTTGTTATCATGTTCATAACTTTGAGTCTAATGTCTTCCAACATCTTAATGATTGGCTTTTGCCTTGCTTCCAAAATCCATGAATTAAATGATTCAGTCAAATTGTTATCAACTGACTGATTCTTGCAAAATGTATCTAGATAAGCTCTACACCAAGACTGTGGTGGGTACTTCAATAAACTTTTTACTGCATCCTTGTTCAACTCTCCTAGCTTGCTTAGTTGGTCTTTGAAGTCTTCTTCATAAGTGCACCATGAACACCACCAAAGCAGTTTTTTGCTTTCTCCAGTATTGTATGTCTTGCACCAGTTAGCCTCGATATGTCTAACACAAACCCTATGATGTACTTGTGGTAGAACAGTTTTAATTGCCTCAATTAATCTCTATAACAAATTCAGAAAACATGTAGAAAGAAAAAATTCAGAAACAAAAACTGGACAGAAGCAGATGACAACAGAAAGAATAAAAATTCAGAAACAAAAACTGGACAGAAGTACCTTTTGCATGTCTGACATGGAGGTGATTCCTTCTCATTCGTTAAGGTCTAGAGATCCCTGAAGTAATTGTAGGAACCAGTTCCAAGAATGCTTTGTATCCTTATCAACAACTGCTCATGCCAAAAGGATAAAAATGATTTTGTGCATCCTGTCCAACAGCAACTAGCAATTGACCCTTCGCTTTCCCTTTTAAAAATATGCCATCTACACCAATAAATGGTCTTAACCCTAACTTGAAACCCATCTTCATAGCTTTGAAACAAACATACATCCTCAAGAATCTTTTTTTCCCATTTTCAAGTGCATTTTTTGAAATGTTAATCAGTACATCACTGCCTGGATTACTCTCCTCAATTCAATGGCATAAGCATCAAGTTTGTTGTACTCATCTACAAAACTCCCATCTAAGGTCTCCAATATCATTCTTTTTGCCCTCTTGCACTTCTCATGACTCACATTTAACTCAAAAATCTTTTTCAAATCAAGTACCATCTCCCTTACCTTATACTTAGGATTATCCTGTAGCTTTCCCTTAAAGTAATATGTAATAGTATTGAAATCAACTGTACTATTATCATATGCAGTGCCATAATTATGTTATGACTCTAATGTCTTTACAGTAACCCTTGCATTACCATCTTTGGATATTAAACAAACAAAGGGACAACCCACAATGCATCTATACCTAACCCTCATTGGTTCACTCTTCCTCAATTTTAAGACTTTCTTGTTGGCTAGAGCATACAACTTCATAAACTTCCTAGCTTCTGGTATGTCCTTAAAGGCCATACCTTTATATATCTCCTTGTAATCATTCAGATTCTCAGTTATGTCTTTTTTTTGTGTGTTTTGAGTAAATGTAATTCTTCAGAATCATATCCTTCAGAATCACATCCCTCAGAATCAGAACTAGAGTCAGATCCTAATTCACTCAAGCTATAGTCAGTACCAGCCTCATCTAAACAAGGATATGATTTACTATAATCAACAATACCGGGAATACACTCAATATGGGGGTCACATTCATCCACAACATATAGGTTCACTACATTATATTCATTAGAAAGCAAGGATATCAACTGTCTAATCCCCACATCCCCTTGAACCTTATACAATTTACTAGAAGGTCCAGCAACTATAAGTTGTTGAACCCCTACAAACCCTAGCTCAACTATGAATTCAGATTCTATATCTATATAAGAAATCAAGTCTGAATCATACCCTGATAAAGTGTGCAGTTTATTCTTTGTGTACATAACTTTAGGATATGTAACCCATTCACCTTCATAATTGAATATTAAATTAACTAAAACCATCTCCAATAATCTAGTAAATATAGCAAATAACAATGGTTAGCAAACAGTAAAAGAACCAATATAAGCTGAAAGTAAAAAAAGAGGAATAAATCTAGGCAGAAAATGACATGTGAGACAGAGAGTCTCATGAATAAAGAAATACAACATGTACAAAAGAATCCATAAAAAGTTCAGTTTATGGGCCTCCCCTTCATAAAAAATTGATAAAGAGAGCAAAGATGCACTAAACCAAGGGTCCTACATTTAGGACCACCTTAGCTAATAAACAAATAAAAAGCACTAAATCTTAGTCAACATCACAGAAAACTAACACATTTTCCCAGTAAGACAAAAAAACAAATCATAATCCACTTAAGAAATCACCTTTGAGAAAAAACTCTAAACCAGAAGACAATAAATCGACCTTGATATATACCCGTACGAATTTATTAGCATAACTGAAGCATGCAACCACTACAAATCGGGACCACCTCAAAACTGAAACATGCAACAACTACAAGAAGACAAACTATAAAGTATATACATAAAAATGAAAGATAAAGCCTAGATATTGTCCAAACCGAAATCCTAGACCACAAAAATAAGAATAATATAACAAGCAATCAGCAAAATCGATCAACAAATACTAAAATCAAGCAAAAGAAAAGACTGACCTTTACATCAAGATCATATAAAATCGGCAGTTTGGAGTCACCACTACCGCCGGTCTCTTAGAGCTTCTAGAGAGTGAAAAGAAAGAGGGAAATTGACCAAATGGTCCGTGACAGTCCATATTTTAGAGAAGGGTTGGGTCGGGTTGGGTAATGGGTTAGGTCGGATCTATACTAAATCTAACCGGATGATTTTGGTACCCATCTATTAAAATATGGGTATTTGTGTTTAATAGTATAACGCCAGGGGCTTTGTTGCTCTAATAGTATAACAGAGGGCTTATTTAAACTATTGATGATAGTAGAGGGGCATATCAGACCCTTTGCCGTATATTATATATCGGCCGACTATTTTTAATTTTAAGCGATTAGATGGGTGGCTATTTGACTTAATTCTTCAAAATTTTATTATGCTACACTATAATTTCTTGGTGTTATTATCCTGGTCATTCCAATAAGGTGATGCAAGTCACATTTGATCCAGAAAATACAAATAAGTTTGTCAGTGCATCTCTCAGAATTGTGAAGGTTAGGGTTTTTCCCTTATCTTCCTCATTCTCCACTGGGATAAACTTGTTCACAACATTAACATGACATGTCTGAAATGATCGTGCATGTTTTTTTAGATTGGAACCTCGGACTCCACTCAAGTTGACTCAAATTTGGATGGACATGATGTGGAGTCACTTGTATGGACTATATCAATAAATGGTTCACAAGATCAAACTTTAAAGGTAACTTGTCACATCATATCCCATTGCGTGGGATCAAATTAGACATAGAGTTGAAATCCGAATTAGGTGTTATGTAATATGTGAATACCAAGGAGGTTAACTTTTATATTAGTTCATAGTTGCGTCATCATATGTTATATTTTTTTTTCTATGTAGTTACAGTTTGCTACTTTATCATTAACTGGTTTGTTATTGGCTGTAAGGAGGTAACTGTGATATTACATAACCGTCAAGAACGACTAATAAAAATAGTGGATTAAAGATAAATTTAATAAGAGGCCTTAAACTTTTTAACTCAATACAAATATAGAAAAAGTTAATGTAGTCTTTCTTTTTCTTTTTCTTTTTCTTTTTTACTTTCTGCTTATAGTATAATAGTCTTAAAAGATAAGTCTTTAACTTAAACATAGCAATATTATTATTATATCGTTAATGTTACTCATGTTAGTCATGTATTTGCAATATATTACCTTGGATGTTGTTGTAATTTTTTTTTACTAATATAAAAATTTAAGTAGTTTAATTCAAAATTCTAAAATATTTTTTCTATTAAAAAGAAGACAATCCCCAAATTTATTTTGACTGAGGCATAGTTATTGTTAAAGAAAAAAAGACATTCTTTCTTTCTTTCTCTTGTGAAGGTTCCGTTTTTTTTTATTTTTCTAAAAGTTTCAATATTATCTAAGTAAACAAAATCTTAAAATTCACTATTATAATTTTTTGGAGTCTCAAAATATTGAGGCCTAAAGAAAAGGCTTTAATAGGCTCCCCTTGAGCCACTTCCTTTTCCTTATTTAAAATTCGGATCAAGAAACAATTTTATTCTATTTCAACGGATTGCTTTGTTCTCTTACCGGATAGATGGACAACTTTAGTCAAAACAGCTGATCTTCGCGCAGACAAAAGAAGGGAAAGGGAAATGGACAGAAATACGAGGTGCCCGAAGATATTCTTGCAAGGGTCAAAACTCTCGAGGTTAGACATCTAAGCCTTTTATTTTTCAAAATTCTGATCAAGAAAGTGAGTAATTCTATTTCAATTAATAAAACTAGTGTCCTAAAGCCAAATTAATAACAGGCCTTAAACTTTTTAACCGAATACAAATATGAAAAAGCTAATTTTCTTTTTCCTTTTCACTTTTTCTTTAAGTATAATAGTCTTAAAAGACAAGTGTTTAACTTCACATACTAATATTATAAATTATATCGTTACTGTTACTTCAAGTTAATAAGATATTAGCTATATATTTGCAATATATTACTATTGTTTACCCAAAAAACGGTATAGTTGAATTTGTTCGTGGTTTCTAGACAAGTGAATTAATTTGATCCAAAAAGTAATGAAATAACTGATGAAATATAAAATACTTAGTCTTAGAATGTAGATGAAACAACAAAGTTAATGAGTCCGGGAAGAATGTTTCCGGGCACAACAATGATGAGATCAAAAGCGAGAGAATAAACTTGTATTAAAATGCTGTATAGAATATAATGTCAGTTAGCCAGAAAATTCGTGCCTTACAATGATAATTGAGCTCTCTATTTATAGTTATGTCTAGGGAAAGAAGTCTTATGATCATGCCCTTCTTTAATGTCAATTATGAGGGTCATTGATGAAGATGTAACGTTAGACATAAATGCCAAATTCCTTGTAGCATGCCATCATCCTTAATGCTGTAAAATATTCTGTATTAAATATTACCGGGCGCAAAACATTTACTACTCCTTTTATGATCTTTATCCCTTCCGGTGACAAGCAGAATAGCTATGTTCGGTGGCCATCTCCATCTTGTGTTCTATGTGTCCTTCTTTTAAGCGGCCACGTGTCATGTCATATTTTTCTCTATACAGATAGTCCCCCTGCTTTCCGATGGCATAACTTTGTATTACCGGAAAGTTGGTAGAAACACTCTTTTGGCGGAAATTACTATAATTCCTTTTGAAGGCCAGTGACGGTTGATTAAACGCCTGCCTCTCCGTATTTAATGTCCCGAACATGCGTCATTCCACGATTCAGCACAACTTTTATCGATTATCAAGGTAATCATGGCCATGAATTTAGCCGCCAAAATTTTACTTATACACATCCTCCTCCTCTTATATACTTTATAATTTCTCAAACTTCTAACTTGCATCTTTGTTTCCCAATTTTCTCTGATCTTCTTCGAACCAGAAATTTTTCTACCTTCTATTCCAATGGCTTCTTCTTCAAAACGTGCTAGATCTTCAAAGGGCAAGAATAAAACTGAGGATTATGTTCCTCTAACAGTGGGTTCCATCATCCCAAAAAGGCTTAGTACTTCGAAGGATCTTGAAGAGAAATTTCCTACTGCTAACCCTCGTACATGGGTCGTTAGTAGATAACCTTCTTCCATTCGCCTTTCCAGTATTCCTGCTATGAAGGAGGACTGTCGTTTCCCTGAGTTAAATATTATTGCTCCTGATTTATCGGAGAGAGTGACCCTTCCCAAAGAAGGTTTTATATATTTCTTCACGTATCCCTTTACTTTGGGTGCGTTTTTTTTAGCGAAGAGCTTGATTCCGTAATCGCCAAGTTTTGCCTTCACTACCAAGTGTGCTTGGCACAGGTAAGTCCTTCAGTGTTGAGGACGATCGCCTGCCTTCGGTGTTTGTGCCAAGAAACTGGAGAGGAGCTAACCCTAGCTCATATGATGAATCCCTATTCCCCCAAAATCTCCCGAGAGGGAATGATAAACCTTTTCAAGTGTGGCCACCATGCTTTACTACCTAGCATGGATGATGACAACAACTGTGGGTGGATGAAACAGTTCGTTGCAGTTGCCACCAGTGACATTATTCCAACAACGGCTTCATCCTTTCCGGTTTCTTGGAACCGCTCTCGTAAGTTCCCTTTAATAAATATTTTCCTACTAAATATTCTTTCATGTTCATATGGATCCTTCAACCTTCGTTTATTATAGCAACTCGATGGATCCTACCGGTGATAGAAGGCTTGGTCTGGTGGGTTCAGAAGATCTTGGACATCACAACGCCCGAAACTCGTTTGTGGAAAGAGATGTCCCTTAAATACGGGTGGAAGGCCAAAATTCATGGTAACTTTAAAGTACCTTGTTTCCATTCATTGTATACGAAGAACTTGGTTTAATTCTTCTGACTTGTTCATGATATTAGGTCTACCTGCGGGCTCAGTTGATGTACCCGAGTAGGATGTTTTGGATGGCCCTGCTGATGCGGCGAGGCTTCTTCAGGAGGCACATACTCGAATAGGAGTCTCCGAGCCTGCTTCGGGCGCAAACGTTTCTTCAGGGAATCCCCGGTCAGAGAACAAGCAACCAAAGAGAAGATGATCTTCTGCGGCCGGGGAAAAGAATAAGAGGGCAAAGGTTGCTGCCCCCGAGTCATCTCCGGTGGAGATGATGATTGGTCCTCCTTCCGGGCCGGTCATAGACACTATGATGATGAAGAAGCTAGTGATGAGGGAGCTTCTTTACATAGAAGGCGACGATCCTTATCATCTCAACAGGATGCTCAACCTGTTGAGACAGTCATACCAACCGAGGATGATGTCTCGGCACTTTGGGAAGAATTTGATTTAGTAGATAATGTCACCTCCCATTCTCGAGCCCCAATTATTGTGCCCGGTACAGTGAGGCAGAGTACCGGGTCCTTGTCATCTTCGGTTGGCGAGCACCCAACATCCAGTGCTGCTTTTGACGCATCTGTTTCTCATTCTTCTACCCCATCAACTTCATCCACTTTCTCCAACACCAGCAACTGCTACATCACTTCCATCTTCATCCACTTTTCCACCAGCAACATCATCTCCCTCGGCCACACTTGACCATGAAGAAGGTATCTCTCCTCCAAAGTCCCAAGTTCATGAAAAGTTAGGGCAAAATTATGTTGCCCCTTCTGAAGATCTACAAAGGATAGGGAGTTACCCTTTCGGTATCCACCGGGTGTAACTTGATTTCGAGGCCGGTGGAGCTTGCTAACTATCTGAAGCCTTTGGCTTCAAAGAAGGATTGGGAAAAGATTTAGACACTCTCGGAAGAGTGTTTGTTGAACAATGCTATGCATAACGCTGCAGCGGTACGTTTCTTTCTTCCTCTGTTATTTCCCCTACTTTTGAATGTGTTTGAGTTTTACCTCTTCTTGTTTTGCAGGCCAACTTTCTTACTTCTGAAGGCCTTTAAAGGTTGATTCGGGAGAAGGTAAGACTTACTTCTGAACGGGATCAACTTTTGTTAGAACGGGACCAAACCATTCTCCGTCTCTCAGAACTGGAAACCAGAGTTGCCAAGGCCGACGTTTTGGAAACTCGTTTGCAGCAAAGCGAGCAAGAAGTGATAACCCTCAGCCAAGAAGTTAGCCCGTTGAGGGTTAGATTTGATGAAGCCAAGGCTAAATGGGTTGAAGTCCAGGACGCCATTCTTGTTGCGACCGAGCGCGAGGCTGCCTCCACTGAAAGAGTGATTAATTTGGAAGCAACCTTAAACTCCAAAAGCGAAGAGCTTGCTGGTGTGGTGAAGAAACATGCCCAGTTGGAAGAGTAGTACAGGAAAACTATCGATCATAATAGGCTCTATAGTTCAACTGTCTGTAAGCTCGATGTCAATCTCAAATCTGTTAGGTCCGCCCGGGAAAACCTTTTCGCCGAAATTACTCGACTCAAAGAAGAACTCAAGCACTGAGTGGCTTCCCTCATTGTTGAAAAAACTTATTCCATGTATAGCATGAGGAGAAAAACTATGGAAGAGACCAAGACTGGTATCATTGACATTGATGCCGAAATTGCTAAGGCCCGAGAGCTTGAGTTGGTCGCAAAAAATGGACTCCCGGCGCAGTCTGACGCTTCAGGTTTTTCTTATTCCGGTTTTGAGTTTTCGAAAACTGAAGAGGGATCGGAAGGTGATGATACTGAAGACCAAGCTGGGGAAAACGTTGAGCCAACAGTGGAACCAACTCTCAGGGATGCAGATACTTCTCTTCCTCCTGATTTCGGAGACGATGCAGCTTAGCGTTTTCTATCTTTTTCTATTTTGTACCTTCATCATTCTTACGCGCCCTTGTAAATAAAAACATATTTTTTGCTCAAGTATCGTTTGAGTCTTATTTTCGTTTTGAATATTCATGCAAGTCTTTAGTACTTGCTTACGTATTCAGCGCATGTTGTTCTATTCGCACTTTATCATGTGTAATCTCGGATGCTTTTTCTTCGAAGCATTTTGGTTCCAAGAATTATCCCTTTTACATGAGGGTTTCAATAAGTATTTGTGCAAGATTATTTTTGCGTCTTTTTCGTATGCAGCTTCGGGTGTATTTTTCCCCGATCCATTATGGATTTCGGGCATTGATCCTTCTGGAACCAACCTTTTAACGTGAGGGTATTTATAAGATAGGGCCCTCTTATGTTTACGATGCTCTTGAAGAGGACGTATCCTATTTATTACGGCACAATTATTTGAAGTACTTGTTTAACTTTCAAATGGTAAAATTGGCTCATCGTTCAAACAAGAAACAAGATAAAAACAAAAGGATTTCATTTCATTTAATTCCTTCTATTTTCAAAAGTACATAAGCATTTTGCTATGCAGAAAAGAGATTGCCATGACTTGTGGCTATAAAGAAATTGCCATGACTTGTGGCTATCTTGTACAACTTGTTTCTACGGGGTTGGCTGCACAGTCCCCGGTCCCGATGATGTATTCTGTTCCGAATTTTTGTTCCCCGATTGACGTGGCACTCAATGTTGCCTGGCATTCAGTGTTGTCGTAACCTCATATCATTCCCCCCAGTGTTCGAATGCGAAGAATGCGAATTGGAACACTGGAAGCATTGTATCTTTGAACATCCCACCAATGAATTGCTAGGTAATCGTTCACTCAGCAACATATCTTGTTTCCCATTAGGAACTCATGTTATCGAGCGAAAGAATACCTAAAAATCCTCTAGTGATTTGTGCTCGTGAACGATCGGGTAATCTCTTTTCGG